CGCTTCTCGTTGCGTCACACCTCAACCCGCCTCAAAGCCAACGCTGATTGGACGTTCGTTTGGTGAACGGCTCCAAATTTTCTTCAACGGAGAGTCTCCAGACTGATTTGTAAGTGAAACCTTGAAAGCTCGCGAGATCAGGATGGTCTCACGAGGCTAGCAGTAACCTAGCAGGAGCCATATTGAATGTGGGATGGCTGCCGTTCAGTCTGTCCGTTAAAAGGAGGGATGTTTAGTACAATACTTCGAGCTGATTGGGTGATGTGCCAGCTAGTACCGCCTTCCATAAGATACTTTCAGTCAATCGCTTCTTGAGTGTTTTCACAACTAGCTTAGAAGCTGATAAATCAAACTTTTTCCAAAGAAAAGCACAGACATCTTTCCCATCTACAAATGCACAACGTGCTTCTCTCGGCTCCTTTTCTAAACGAGAAATTGTCGTTGTTTTAGCTAAAACCGAGTCAATTGCAATATCGACAGGCGAGTCCTCCAGTGTAGCCATGTTTGTTATGCCCCAGCAAAGGCGTCATTTCTACATGTCCCGCCCCTAAAACACTGCTGGCATGTCATTGGTCCAACTTGCTGGTTGTTACGAGACGGATTTATTAGCGAGACTGAAGACATTTCACAAACATCCACCTTAAAGCGTAAGATTAATCCAGTTTGGCAGTCGGGATAAATGTAGGACTGTGATCTACATCCTTTAAAACGGATTTAAGTCTTCTAAGTTTTGTTTGCAGTACAGCTCAGATTGGTCGTGTTTTTCTCTTAGTTAAAGGGATTTAAGGGAGCAATTATGGGCTTGTGGCCTATAAATTAACCTCAGCTTTAAGTGTGTTAAAAACTAACCTCCTTGGTGACACAGTGCATGAGCAGCAGCCTATTGTTCTAAGGAAACGTAGCGGAGCTTTATTGTTTCTGTTTCCTCTCCATATCAAGCCTTCTCTGTGTGTTTGTGGTCCATAATCACAGCTCTGGGCTGTTCCTACATTCTTTGTTTCTAATGGATCTTACTCTTGGTAGATCTTTGTGCAATAAAGTCTTAATTGTGTTCCACCCATCAAAAGCAAACCAGCAGAAGTTATCATATATCACGCCTCTCCAGGGGCCGAGCTTGCAGATGAGGATTAAGCCCAGCCTATATACTTGACTAAATGGCATCATGTCTGAGGTGTGATCCATATCAATTGTGGCTGGCGGTTCGGAGGAGATGAAAGCTGGAGATATTACACATTCAAGGGCTTCATGGACATTTTTTCCTCCGCCTATATTCCATCTGTTTTAGTTGCTTGACTGATAAGGCAAAGCTAGAAGAAAGCAGAGGGAGAGGATAAGACTTTAGAGGTATGACAATTGCTAGAATAAATCCACGTATCTGCGGACGGAACAAAGGAAATATTTTTATCCCCAGTATTTGAGTTTCTTCACTGTCTCCTGTTTCATTGTAGATAACATGTTTTACCTTGTGTCAGATTAAACTTCTCTGTTTCTAAGAATCGGGGCGCAGCTTAAAGCATTTGACTGGCAGTAGGGGTGCTGTCAGAGCTTCACCTTCAGTCGCCGTGGTCATCAATGCAATGCTTCTTTACGACTTTTAAGAAGTACAATTCTAAACATCCTGCTTTCTAATTGAATGAAGACTCATCTTAGTGGACTTAAAGTTGTAGAGAAGTCATATTTAAATGTCAAATCATTCTGGCTTAAACATTTATATAAATTTACTCTTTATCAGACTATATTGTCCTAAAATTTAGAAAATAAATTTTTTTAAAGAAATCCTGTCTTAAAATCTGTTGTTTTTTTTCCGTCATCTTCTGCAGGCCAATTAGTTCTACGTCAGCCTGAACACCTAAATTCACCCAATCATATATCAACGGTCATCTGTCAATCACATTTTTCGCAGCTAATATACGCAACAGTTGAAGGTTGAAATCAGAATCCTTTCCTTTCCCATTGAGTTGCGTCCCAGTGTTCACGGGGATGGACGTCTGTGTCTTCGGCAGGCGTAGAGCTAACAGAACTGGCAGCGTTGCGAGGCAAGGGCTCAAACATGTACGGCTGGAAGCCTTCTACACCAAACCAAGCTTCTGCCGCCCTGGCGTCCTCTTCCACAACATCTTCGTCACCGTTTTCCTCCTCTAAATAAAAAATGGATGACGGAGGAGACTCATCCCTGACCTCCGACACTAAACTCTCCTCCTCTTGCATGTTTCCGCTGTCCATAGCGTTCCTTGACAGCGTCGTTTCTAAGTCACCAATTTAGTGCTACTTGGTCCCAATGGAATTTCCTATTGGGAACCTACTAGCACTAAGTTGCTAACGGGTTAGCAAGATGCTTCACAACATTCCCGCCGTCTTGATAAACGACCAATCACATTCACTTTATTCACTCGTGTAAAGTCGGGCACCACTCGGGAGAATCGGGAACTGGAACCTTTGGAACACCCTACGACTTTAAGGCTGACAGATTTCCGTTCTTGGTGGACGTATTTATTCCTCCATTTCATTACATTACCACCGCTTACTTTGATGCATATAAGGGGATTTTATGTGATCCAAG